AACTCTAACTAAATTTGAATCGAAGCAAAAGAAATAAAAGAGAAAGGAAAAGGACAGAGGCAGCAGCTCAGCCTAGCCTGCCTCGACCGGCCCAGCTAGCCCAGCCAAGCCTCACCTGCCCTTTCACGCGCGCAGCCGCTGACAAGCCGGACCCGCCCGTCAGCCATCACACACCGCATGCCGCCGCATTGGGACAAGCTGACAAACAGGCCCCCTCTGTTAGCCACCCAGCTACAGTGTCGATGTCTTCCCCACGATTTCTCCCCACGCGGCCGGGAGCCGACCACGGAGCAGACGCGGGCCCAAGGTCACGCACATCACATGACCCTGTTCCCCCTTGCGCCGCGCCCACTCTACCACACGCAGGCCGTCCGATGTGCCGCACGCATCACCACCGCTTGATCACCGTCCGCCATTGGATCCCTTGGAGCTTGGCTATAAAAGCCAACGCCCGCGAGCCCTAACCCTCAGCCCGTTCGCCACCGCCGCTGGTGGCATAGCACCACCCCGCATCAAGCCGAGAGAGAGGGAGGAGGAAGAAGCAAGGAGGAGAAGGAAGCCGCTGCGGGACCGGACCTCACCGGAGCTAGGAGTGCCGCCCCAATCGGCTACAGTGACGTAGCTGCTCGGCACGGCACTACATCGCCTCATCACGGCCTCGCCTCGCCACCACACCGCCATCCTACCACCACGAGCCCTACGGTGAGCCACGTCGTTCGCCGCTCACCACGCTAGCCATAATCGCCATGAACGCCACCGCGTTCCCGCACCTGGGGGATGCAGAGGCGGAGCTTTCCAGCTCCTGGACACGCTGCACACGCACCGCACGCGCATCAACCCAAGGCCTAGCCTCACCGACCCCTAGCTGCTCGGGAACACCGGCACAACCATACCTAGCCTCTCGGACACCATGAACGGACCACGTCGGAGCACGAGCTCTTGCTCCGGCTTAGCCAACCGGTAGCATAGAAGGACCACCATGACCCTCTTGTTGAGCCAAACGAAAACGCGAAGCAAAGGGAAGAAAGGGGCGACGCCAAGCCCTCTGCTCGGGAACGCCAGCGCCGAGCGCTCTACTCATGCCATACATACACATCGCACGCACGCACGTGCTCACCATGGTCAGAGCAAAACCATGGAAAGACCACCGCGTCTTCTACATCGCGGTAAAGGCGACGTTGACACCCTGACTGGCGCCGCCATGACGAGAGACACACCGCGCTCACCTTAGCCGAGGATGAAGCCCACTGGAGCCCTGTGTTGCTGCACCGACCACCTCGGCCAGCCTTCCGACCACCACGACGACCTTTCCGACCACTTCGGCGATCTCACCGACCACGTCGGCGAGCCTTCCGACCACTTCGGCGATCTCACCGACCACGTTGTCGAGCTCTCTGACCACCTCAGCGATCTCACCGACCACGTCGGCGAGCTTTCCGACCACCTCGGCGACCTTTCCGACCACTTCGGCGATCTCACCGACCACGTTGGCGAGCTCTCCGGCCACCTCAGCGATCTCACCGACCACATCGGCGAGCTCTCCAACCACTTCGGCGACCTCTCCGACCACCACACCAGCTGGTACACCACTCCAAGACCACGAGAACCAGTCACAGTCTGACACGTGTCAACCCTGAGTTAATCAGCATTAATTTAATCTTCAGAAATATATAACTAATTCATACGATCTCAGAGAAATACAAGACCAGGACCAAAATCCATCTAAAATTGAGCTCTACGCAATGAACCCATGTTTGAGTGCATTTGGCTCTTTTGAATTTTCACTGCTTCTTTGTGCTATTCTATAGGGGTCGCTAACACGACTATAATGCGATCGTTTGTAGACTCGGAGGAGAACCGGACGGATGAGGATCGTGAGTACCATGAGGAGTACGGAGACGACTACACTGAAGGTGCCACATCCCACCCAATCTTGTAGCACCTGTTACGCATGGCTAAAATAGAAATGCTAGTGCTTTACTTTGTTGTTATGATCACACTATGATAGGACTTGCATGGTAGTATACTTTCTTGATGACCTTTACCTTGACGCAACCTTACCCCTGCTCACCCTGCTGTTAGGCTAGCCACACGCTTGCTACTATATTTCATTGCTTATTACTTCTACTACGCTTGCACTACATTGATGCGTGGTGGAAACTGGTGTTATCTGGACTATGGGGAGAGTGCTGCGTGTGTGACTTAGGTGCGTGGAGGGTGAGGGTTGTGTCGACCAAGTTGGAGTATACGACGAGCCTAGGGCAAGTCTTGCCGTGGGGTGCTACCTGGGCACCCCTAGAATGGATACCTGTGGTGGGTAAATGGTATATGAGGTGGCCCTGGGTGTGAACCTATGATGGGAGGAGCCTAGGGTGGAGGTGCTATGGTGGCACGGTAAATGGAAACCCTGATGGAGACATTCTGGCTTGGTCATCCCTAAGGACTTACTAGTACTTAGATTGACCGGGAAGCCTTACGTACCACTCGCCCTATATGGTGCGGGACGGCCAGACTAATTGGTAGGATATTGCCACTACTGCTAGGTTGATAGCGGACAGTGTGAGGGAGGTACGGGGTGCGGAGGATTCCCCCCACACCCTTCCGAGACTTCATGGAGACCTTGTGGACCCGGTTCATGACTCACAGTTTCAGCCACCCTAGACCGGACTTGGGGTGAACCAGGGCTGAATGGTAGAGTGGCATTATCCTAGGCTAGCAAGCGGCCGGAATCAGCCCAGTTGACGATGGTCAGCGAGGAAGGTGGATCTTGTGGTTATGTAAAACCTCTGCAAAGTGTATGGTTGATCGATCAATACATATGCCGACTCATCGGCATTGGACCTTTCCTGGGTTTTGCTTAAACTAGATAGTGAGATGAGTCCTTCTTTTCTCCCCCTGGGAGTGAGTGTTCAGACGTAGCCAGGGGCTACGGGCCTTGAGACAGTGCCGAGAGGGAGTTGGCCTATCGACTGAGCGATGGTATGGGTATGGTGTGGAGATGGTGGTGTATCAATCCCAAGATCAAAACCTGGCTCTGGAATGGGAATGGGGTGGAATGGGTGTGTGAATGGTGTTAAAACTTGACCAAATATTAATAAATACTTGATATAGGAAACCCCAGCCTTATAGGTTCCTTTTGATTATATCCAACTTGCATCCAATTTCCACAAAGCAATGCTCATAGGGTTGGAAGTGGCCAGTACAAATCGTACTGATAAATTCTGGCACCCAGGTTCTGCTGAGGAGTATAGCTCCGAGGAGATTGACGGTTGAGGGGTTCGTTCCTACGCTCGAGTTTTGGCGATCTTATCTTCAAGCTGTTGTGAATGAATGCTACTTTTGATTCCGCCAATGCGGCGATGTAATAAACTTATGTAATTCCGTACTATTTGTACTCTGATATTATCGTTGTATGGATGTGATATTCGACTGAAATTTGGGTAATATGATCTACAATGGTCTTATTACACTTCGACACTGTGGATTTCCCTTCGCAGAAATCGGGGTCGCTTCAAACAAGATGCTTACTTGAATCATAAGTTGATTACCAGAGAAATCTCAGAAGCAAGCTCAGGTTGAACTTGAATCTGCTAAGGTACAAGCCATAGAGAGAGCACCAATAGGCCGGCATCTCCTCCAAACTCTGCCCAGGAAGGGGGGCAGGGGTTGGTATATATAGGCTGCAACATCCAACATAAGCCCTTGGATCAAACCGACATAAAGAACGGCATAGATGCAACCTAGGAGGTGGTGGGGAACCGACTTAGCAACGACGGACTAACTGGTGTACCCCAGGTGTTGAGCGGCCTACATGTGGGGCTGGGTGGCCCCACATGTTAGTGTCTTAGGCTCCGCTTTGGTGGTGAGCCTCTAGGAGTCTTCTAAAGTCTTCCCATGTTGCTTTCACTGTGGAATTACATGATTTCCTTTGACGAATAGGTCCCCTTGGCAGTTTTCTAGATAAACCCTGTTGAAAACACAGATTCACCAAAACTTGTGGAATTTGTTAGTTTAAACCCCTATACCTATGTTTGGTGATGGAATTAAGTATAAATATAGGTTATGTTGATGGTTTATAATTGATGTTAGTGACCGTCAACAATTTCCCCCAAGCTTAACCTTTGCTAGTCCCTGAGCAAAGCTAAACTCAGCAATGGATTAGGAGTTTCTATATGTTTTCACTCCTTAAAAGTACATAGGTGTTCAATCAAAAATTCTCCTTCGAATTAGAATAAATTGATCTGACTTACAAACTTACCCATATTACCTTCAACCATGGGGCTTCTTAGCCTTCACTTGGGTCTTGAGCAATTGAAAGACAGAATGATCAAGTCAAGCATTATGTCTCAAGTTCTTTGTCCCACCATTGTTTCAGAGTTTTTATAAGTTTTCAAAATAAAACTCAAAGATTCCATTATATGACACTCTCAAGTCTCTCAATATATGTGGTATTTGTGGATCCTCATCAAGGCAATAAAAATGTTATGAATTTTCCTTCCTACCACTAAGGCTTATGTGGAGTTCATAGGTAGGGAGAAAGTCAGAGCATACTTACAATGCATATATTGTAAAGTCACTACAAGAAATCCTTCTTTCTATGACAAAATTCCTTATGACTAGGCCAGTTTTTGTCATATAATGTACCATAATATGATGACAATTTCAGTGGCGTCATAAATTCAGGAGACCTAGATCTATTTATGACGACACTCTTTATTTTGTCACATAAAGGTACCAAGTATCATCACAAAATGTCAGGCACCAGGAGCCGGTTGTCTGCTGCGTTTTTATGACGATATGAGCTGGTTTTATGTGACCTTTCTGTAGCGTCATTGTTTGTTAATTCAAAAAAGATGGCCCCAACGTCAATATATATAGAACAGACCCTCTCTGTTGACCATTTCGATTCATTCCCCATTTCCCCAACACACTGTTGCAGACAGCGTCTGGGCGGAGCATGGCGGGCGGCGTGTGGGCAGGGAGCGGCGTCTGGGCGGAGTATGGCTGTCGGAGCGCAGCGGGCAGCGGGGGCGGGCGTCGTCTCGGCAGTGGCAGCTCCCCATCTCCCCAACTCACGGCGCAGCAGCCTCTGGGCAGAGCCAGCGTGTAGATCCGGTGCAAGGCTGCCCAGCAGAGCGTGGATTTTCGGTGACCGGCGGCTACTCCATCTCGTTTGCCGACAGTGTGCTCCTAGTCCCCAAGTGCGCCATTGTGGCAGTGCCGCCCTCATCCTCCTCCCCTTTCCCCCTTTCGTTGCCTATGTGTGAGGCCTAATCAATCCCCGCTCCCTTAGGCTCATGTCGCAGGCGTCGTCATCTACCGCTCGCAGTCGACGCTCAACTGCAGCTAGGGTGAACCCGCACCCCTTGCTATTGTTGCTGCAGCACCTCCGCCCACTGCTATCGAGCTGCAAGCACCAATTGATGATGTGACCGGGTTGCCGCTGATAATGTGCCCGAATTACAAGGACATGAGGGTGTTTGCTGCCACTACCACACAGTCTGAGTATAACGTTGGAAGGAGGTTTTTCAAGTGCTCCAGGAAGAACTATCGAAATGTTAGTGTAGTGGTTCAATTTGCATTGCCCAAATTTCATTTTTGTTTGAATGGGCATCCCTGAGAATGGTAGTGTTTGTAGCATTCAGTTGTTGCACTATTGATGTTAAATTGCCTGTTGTTGTAATTTGGATGCAGGGGACATGTTCCAGGTATTGGTTCAAGGAAGAATATGTGGTGTACCTTCAAGATAATGGTTATCTACTGCCAGCTTCCTCGACCATTGTAGTAGCTTCGACAACAGATGTTCCTAAGCTGGTGGACAAAATTGATAGCATAGAGGAGAATCTAAACAAGGTGAAGGAAATGGTTGTCAAGAATAGGGAAGGCATGGGAAGCTGCATTTGTCTTGTGTGTGGGTGTCTAAATGTAACATTCTTGGTGTTGGTCATCTTGTTGGTTGTAGCTATAGTGTTGAAGTAAGCAAATGTTGTTGAAATATTGTATGTGACATATTGTATTGAACATGTGTCTTTTGTGTGACATGGTGTATTGATCCTGTTATCCAGGATGTATTTGCAGTTGGTATGAAATATGTGCCTGAGTGCTGTTGGAATTAAACATCCCTTTTGCTTTGATGTGTAACCTGTGTGTGATCAAATTTTGGCAGCATGTATGTAACTTTAGTATAGCCCTGAATTTTTGTAGCAACTCAAAGGATTCTGGGCAGCATATAACATATCCATGATATTTTGGCATCATATAGCCTGTAACTTCTAATAGGTTACATGTGCACAGAATAGAATCAAGCATAATTCAAATACAACAAAATCACTAATAGAAGTTCATGGTTCACAAATAGCTCAAGAAATGCAAAGGCTAGTCATCATCACTGTCTTGTTTTGATATGTTGTCTTCGTCTGGACTATGGTACTCAAGGAAGGTTTCATCTTCATCTTCATCTTCGCCATCTGTTTCATCACCTTGAGCTGTATGTTGATATCCACAGATGCTCTCGACAAGGTCTCTACTACTAATAGGGCTGCTTGGTTGATTGTCCATGTGCAACAAATCCATATTAGGATAAATGTCTCCCACTGTACCATCTCTGGACAAAGTATTCTCCTCTTGGTATGCCTCCTGACATCTCATCTATACTTGTTCATGGATTGGTTGCTTTTCGTTGGACTCTTCAACATCAAATATATGTCGGTGGTCAAATTCTTGTACCACTCGCCAAGATGAGCCAAACGTTGTATCTTCCAAGAAAAATACGTGTGAAGCTTCTGTGGCTAGAATGAAAGGATCATTCTTATACCATCGGCCTTCAAAGTTAATGCTCTTGAAGTAACCATCATCTTTCATTTGGTATGTCCTTCCCTCAAGATTGTACCATTCACACCGTAATAAGATAACAGATCTATCTCCTTTGCTGTTCTTAGTGTAACTCAACTCAATAATGTCTCTGATTGTCCCATAGTAGTCAATAGTGACATCATTGTGATCCCCTACAGTCTTGATGGTGGAGTTTTGTGTTTTCCTATGTGCCTCACGAGCCATAGTGTGGTACCGTACCCCATTGATTATACAAGCTGTGTATGATCGCACACGCCTATCCGGTCGACATGCGAGTGAGTACAAGTCTTCATCAACATTTGCTATGCCTTCGTAATTCAATTTGGTAATCTATAGGAAAACACAAAGAATTGGTGATTTTTGAAAATTTATTGTATCATAATTGATTCACTCAGGTTGTAAAAGTTGCACACACATGTTTCTCAAACCATGCAGTAAAGTGTGTTGACATCGTTTTTTAATATTATTGACATGTTGTTGTTCCAATTGGGCTCTATACATTCTGCAAAGGAAGTAGTTAATTAGTTTACTGTGAGACTAATATTGACTAAAATTGGAATAAAGAAAGTAGACAATGGCAGCGGCGAACCAGCAGCCACCACGCACGCCAACCAGAATCACTAGGCAAAGTGAAGCCATGCCTTCGCCTGCAGGCCGTCCACCGCCTAGGCCAAGACATCCCTTGCCTCCTAAGAACACTTTGAAAGCCAACCCAAAACCAAATGCCATTTTCAGTAGCAGCCAACTGCAAGGCCACCTCACTACAAGCGGCAGCCACACCACATAAACTACAGACATAGTGCCTACTCCTCCAAGAGTCACCAGGACCAGTCCAACCATGTCTTCAGCTATTCCAAACACACAGCCTAGTCCTCTAGATACACCAGGAAAAGTGTAGCAATGTCTATGCCTGATGCAAACACAGTACCTAGTCCTCCTAGATTCACCAGGACCAGTGCAGCCATGTCTGTGCCTGGTGCAAACACAATACCTAGTCCTCCTAGATTCACTAGGTCCAATGCAGCCATGTCTTCGCCTGGTGCAAACACTGAGCATAGTACTCCTAGAGCCACTGCTACCCTATCTCAGCAACCTACTCCCACAACTAGTGTTAACCAAGCAGTTCCTACAGACACCTCACCAGGTGGACAGAGCTCTAGGCAAAGCAATGACATCAATGAGTCAGCTGAGCAATTTGATGCCGCTAATTCAGAGGGTCATACATATGAAGGAGAACCAAGAGATGACTTAGTTCTACGTAAACAATACGAGTTTCTAAGCATTTGTTTCTCCATTCATTATCTACAATTGTTACTGCTTTAATAACACATTTTGATCATTATTTGCCAATGTAGCGCCCCCAAAGAATGTTCGCAAGAAAACCAAGGGTCATGGCTTAGAGAAGATGCTAAATAGAGGAAAGAAGCTGGCTATCCAAGTGGCTGAAGGGAAGAAAAGACCTGATGTCCCACTTCAGGCAGCGAAGCTAGCCTCAGAAATTGGTGTTGCCCTTAGAGACAACATGCCCATCTACACATCATGGAAGCATTATGACAATGATGTGGGAAAGGCAGAAGTAAAAAAAGTGCTTGACAAAGTGGCGGTGAGACAGCTATTTCACTCCTCCAAATACTCTCTTGCATTACTCTACTCCCATGTGAAAAATTGTATCTAATAAATGATTTGTGTGGCTTCAGTCAAGGTTGGATGTGGATGTTAAGAATGAGGCACCAAGTAAAGCTGCATGCACTAATATCATTAAGAGGGGAGTAAGGCAGACGAGGTATCACCTAAAAAAGAAGTACTTCGATGAGTCACTGACAGAAGAACAGCTGCTGGCCAAGCAACCTCCACCTAAAATGAAGAAAGAGGAATGACCAAGCTGGTAGAGTACTGGTGTGACCCAAAGAATCAGGTCCATGCCTGAATTATCTGCTTTTGTTAATATGCAATGCAACTGTGCATGTGAATGACAACTTTGTATTGCATGTGGTGCAGGAAAAATGTGCTAAGAATAAAGTAAACCGAGCCCAAGTGTAGCTTCATCAAAGGACTGGAGCTAGGTCCTATATTGCCCATCGATACAGCCTGGTACGGATACTATGTCTTTTGTATATTTGTAGCTTAGTAATTACCATGTGCTTTTGAACTGTCAAGTTAGCACGTGCTCCAATTATTTCTGAGATGAGCTCCCATGTTCATAATATTTGCACTGTGCCGAGTGAGCTATAATCAATAGGTGTTTAGGCTCTAATTCTTTTATGGTGACCATTTGAAACTGAAATCTGCAAGAGGAATTGCTATGTCATCAGAGATGATCATCATCAATAGTAGGTGTTGTTTAGGCCAAGTTGTTATTCTTGATCTGTCCAGGTTGCATTGATGCTTGTTCTTGTGTTGTTTTTCTTAAATGTCAGTAATTAGTTGACTTTGCTAGTGATTGTATTTGTTGTTGGCATAAAAATCTAGAGTCAAATACTGAGGCAAATACTTGTATGATCTGTAGTGCATACATATTTTGGCATCTTGCTATTGGCATGTATAAATAATCTATGGCTAATCTTATATCCCAAGTTTTTAACATGCTGCAGAGGACTAAGTACAACAACATGGAGCCAGATGTTGATTTCTTTGGAGAATGTATGAGTAGTCCCCAAAATGGTCGTACTCCTCCTGCAAATGAAATATATGTAAGTTACAAAATCAATGGATACATGCATGTACTGCACTCAAGTAAATGCCTGGTTCAACAATGTTGTATGGCCTTGTTATTAAGTGGATTCATTTTATGTAGGAACAAATGGTTGCAGAGAAGGAAAGAGAGCCAGAAGAAGGAGAAGAACAAAAGTCTCCCTCCAAGATTGTTGTTGACTGTCTTAGCCAGATCAGCCATTCATCCACCTTCCTTCCGAACATTGGTGTCCCTCAACCATCGAAGACTAGCCGGTCCACATCGACAGTCGCACAAGCACGCCTGCAAGCTCAGTTTGAGGAAACACTCCAAGCAGAAAGAGAGGAAGCTGCTAGGAAGCAGGAATAGTTGCAAACACAGCTTCAAGCTCAACAGGCCACACTTGAAGAAAACCAAAGTTTGCCGCGTCAGACCCAAGAGGAAGTGAAGGGGATGCATACCAAGTTTGAAGAGACTAATGCACTGCTACGAGCTGTCCTGAAACTTTAGAAAGATTGAGGTAGGTATGAATGCAGTGTCTGAGGATGATGCCTTTGCCTAAGCTTTTGCTACCTTGCTAGAACTTACTCTGTGGTTGGGACTTTGTCAGAACTAAGTGCAATCTGTTTGTATGTTTGAACCTTTGTGGTGGAACCTATGTATGTTTGAACCTCTTGTGGTGGAACATGCCTGATGGAACCTAGAACTATGTGGTGGAACAAGTGTGCTAGAACATGTTGAACCACTGTCTTCTAGTCTAGAATTTATGTGTATGCATGATGGCTTGACTGAACTGTGTATGATTTATGACTTGTGATGAGAATGTTGTGGATGATGGCTTGGCTGATATATATGTGTATTATGCTTTTATGAGCAGTGATGAAAGATCAGTGTGTCATCACTGAATATGGCTGCCACGCTCGTCATGAATGAGAGGACAATTTTTGACGCCATACAGTCATCTCAAAATGTCTCTAACTACCATACAAAACAAGACAAAATCTAGGCGTCACAAAATCCACATACTTATATATGACGTTTCTATGTCATCAAAAAAACTTATCTGAGACTGTCCTTGCACGTACCATTTATGACGTTTCATACATTAGGTGACGCGTTGACTGACCAATATGTGACAGTTACAGTCGTCATAAAAGATAACAATGTGTGATGGAAAGACACAACCGTCACAAATGGTCGTAACATTTTGTGACGGTTCTCAATATTATCATCACAAGGTATATTATGTGACGGTCATTATATGACGACTGGCATGATGCTGCTTTTTTGTCATAAGACACTTTTTATAACCAATTTTGTACTTACCATGACAGTGTGCTTATGTCATACAAACCATTTTTTTTTGTAGTGAGTCAAACAACGGATCCAAAGAGAGTTTAGTCATACAAGCAAATCAAGATGTGCAAGTGTGTGGATATATGGTGGATATATATGG